ACGTACTCGGACTGTTTTCTTTTTTAAAGGATGATAAGAAATGTGATTTTTACAATCGTTGATAACAAATGTGAACGATTCTGATTGGTCGCGAAATTTTGCTCCCAAGATGCTCGTGTGTGACGTGAAATCACGTGACATCACTATTTACTGGATCAGAGACTAGGGTTACTGGCTTGCTGTTGCTGCCTTCTGGTTAGAGGTTAGACTTAGACATGATAAATTTAATTTAATAAATWAMTWAATTTAATTTATCATGGACTTAGATTAGTGTTTAGCGACTGTTTGCGTCTAATGTACTCCATTGAACTTACTATATTGTAATAAATAAAATTACGGCCAGATAGTGAATTATTTTATAATTATTTTTTGGCTTTGCAGTGATACATAATAAAATTTATAATGACGACAGTGTTAAAGAATCATCACGAACTTTTTGATTTACTACCCAATGAAATTGTTAGTCACGTTTTAATCTTTATCGATTGGGACACGCTTTTCGTTTGCAGGCTTGTGTGCAAGAAATGGCAACAACTTATAGATACATATGTATTTCAAGAAAAAACTGCTATAGAAAATAAGTTTGCGAATGATGGTCGAGGGTACTACAGTTTCTCACAAATTGGTTCAAATTCTGTTAGAAGTCTAGATTTACCATGGTATGTGTTCTATTTAATTGGCAAATATGATCCATTCAATAAAAATTTGGTGAAAAACTCTTGTGGACAAGGTATAAGTAAATCAGGTTTATGCCTATTATCGATCAGAATTTAAAATAATTCTTAAAATTTCATGATGATTATTATGTTAAACACAGGTAAAGGTCATTGGGATGGTCCCGGAGAAGTGAATTTTATAAACAAATTTACTTTATGGTCTAATCTGAGTTTGTGGACTGATTTTAAACTTTCACCATTAACTACACCAACTGAATTAATTGAAGATCCAGATTTAAATGGATATAAACTGTATTTCACAACACCTCTTTATAATTTTTATTCAATGTATCAAAAAATCGTATTCAAAGATCATGGTTTGAACCAAAATGTAATGAAATCACTCCAACCTGAAATTATATTTAGTGCATGGTATGTATTGATACTTACATGTTTTAAAATATGTTCCTTATATAAAATAATCAAACTATATGTCTCACAGGATTAAAAATGGATGTTATCGCCACTACAAATATATTTTACAAGTAATTCTTCATGATGAATTAGAAAATACTATAGCTGAACATAATGTGCGTTCACCAGAAATACAACGTCAATGGGTTAAAGTATGTAGACATGTAGTTCTCTATATAATATTCCTAAGATGAGTAGGGATGCGCAATTTTTTTAAGTAATCCATGTATCGATATATAATTGGTATTCTTGGAACTATAAAACCGATATATTGATAATGCAAATTATATAGTTCCCCTTATTGAAAAATTAAATTTTTATTATAATTTCAAATCTGTTGCCATATGAAAATGTGATTCTAGAACCGTGCCTGAGTATCAGTGGCGGCGCCAGGCATTTTTTTCAAGGAGGCCAAGATATATTAGGGCAGGCACAGTCGCTTGGTAGGACATAAATTGAGGCATTGGGTAGGGTGTCCCCCACGATCCGAACTCGGTGAATACTGAATACCAGGAGTTTCGGATCACAGGTAGGTTAATTATTCCTGACATTCATATTTAAAAAGAATAGGTAAAAAAATAAATAAAGATTAATATAGGTAGTGTAATTAATAAAATTAGTAAACTAATATGTTTTCTTAATTTAAGTAATATAATATTATATAACACATTACATATATATATTTAAAAATTATATAATTCAAAATAAGTATTTTAATAAATCATCATAATWATCATGATCATCATCATAATTGAGCAGTTATTTTAAAATGATTCTACGATTGTTATGGGAATTTGAAAAAGTATCAATAATTTCATCTATATCTAGTAATTTAGCCTCACTTTTTCTACTGATATAACACTCAAATTTGATAAATTATTGTCTAGCAAGGAGTTCCTTAAATAACTTTTCATTCGTTTCAAACATGAAAATGTACGTTCACAAGCAGATGAGGATATATGTATAGTTATGGCAATAGAACAAAGTTTAAACATTTCAGTAAAARSTATTYRATATTCACATAAAAMTGCATGAAAAATAAAAACATCTDTWATTTTTAATTTGAACTTTTCTTCATATACATTAATAGATTTTTTGATTATTTTTAATTCAGCTTTTAAAGAATCTAAATCGCAAGAATAATTATTTGCTAAAGGTACAATTAAATCAAAATCAAAAAAATGGTTACCCTTTGAATTAAAGGCACTTCTCCCACACAAAATATCAGAATTATTATTAAACAGTTTATCTAATTCACTTATTATACTATCCAAAATTTTTTAGACGACTCCAGTCCCTAGTTCTAAAATTAGATTCGCACTAWGTTAATTGATGACCAAATAACCATTATAATATTAAATAAATAACCATTTCCTCCACCGACACAAAATATAAGACGTAGTAGTGTAATACGTAAACAAATCTACAGTTGTCTGTGTGACTGTGTGCGTACACTGTCGTGCATGGCGTGCGTGTACATTGGTATAGGTTTGTAGAAAAACCAGGCCTTGGCATTATACATATATTTTAAATTTTTAAAACTATTTACGTGATAATATTTGAAAATTTAAATTCCAACTTTCATGAAAATCGAAATTTCAAGGCAGACCATAAGTTTTCAAGACGGGCCATGGCCTGCTCGGCGCCGCCACTGCTGAGTATCACCTGTGACTTGAGTGCTGGAACATAGCCTTTTCTAAAAATCTTTGGACCCATTTGTCCAGCTATTACATTTATATTGAATCACATATATCGATACTACAAAAATTACGAATGGCAAATATTGACATAAAAATATTGATATTTTTGGCCACAATATTGRCATGTCGACAATATCGATATTATTTGCGCATTCATAAAGGTGAGTTGCATAAAGAACAGTCTGTGAATTTATTGCTGGCGTTGTAATTTACCGGTCCTGTAAGGTTTAATGATTGTGTAAAAGTAAAACTATGCTAGTGTTGCATAATAAATTATTAAATTATTGATAACCGTGATTACCAATTTTATTTAACCACCAATAACATTGATATTTCATYGATCCGTAAGTAGTAAGTTATCGAACCAAAGTTCTCTCTGTAGTTTACAGACTCGGTAAGCAATAGTTTACAGAATCATGAACACTGTCTAGCATTTAAGCAACAGACAGTTTTATTAATAAAACCATTAATGGTTAATGGTTTTATTAATAAAACCATTAATGGTTAACGGTTTGGTAAGTTGTTACAAGACATTTATGCAACTTACTCCTAATATGATATTTTTGTTTTAAAATATCCTAACAAAGCCACCATAAACATATTATTTTTCAGACTTCAAGTTCGTTAAAAATGATGGGCAATGAATCTTCTATAACTCTACATCATAAAATAGATGATAGAAGCAAATACTTATGTGATTACCAAGATAATCCTTATAATTTAAAAATAACTTGCTCTGTAGTTAAAATTTTGTTACCAACAGAATTTAAACTTAAATTACCTGAACCTAAGATGCATATATTTAATTAGAATGTGAGCACCTATATTTGTTAATATATTTACATTTAAAATTAATGAAAAATATATGTAATTTTATATTAAAAAAATGTAATAATAAAAATTGAAAGATCAAATAATTTATATTTTTATTGAGCATAAAAATCATAATTCTAAAGTTTATTTTTGTATTGTTACTTAACTAGTTACTTAAAGAACGCTTAGAATTAAGTTATTGTTCATTGATTAATTTTTACAAACGTAATATACAGGTGTAACAGACAGGTAGATCTAACAAATTAAATAATCTTTTAATCAATATTTTTTTATTTTTTATATAATTTATTTAAATACTTGTGCTACTATTATATACTACAATAATTTTTTATTTTTATTTTGAAAATGAAAAAATTTAAATCTGATTTAAATTTTCTCGAAAAATCCATTATAGCCAACTATCAAATCTGGTGTTTAGAAAAAATTTTTATCCAAGTTGAGTAGTTAATTTTTACAAGTTTTGAAATCTTTTTTTTAAGGTTATATATATATTTTGTATTAATTCAAAAATATTATTTATACATTGTAGAGACTTTAAACTTATTGCTTCTACTTGTTTTTTTATTACCTATACAGTATACATGGACTGTTTAACAATTTATTATTTAGACTTATTTGATAATATTAACTATACCTAGTAATCCGTATTGAAACAATGAAACAATAATTTGATAATTATTATAAGTAAAGTGGAACCTTTATTAACCAGGGTTATTATTGGGARGGGTCACACGGATAAATGAAAATCACGGTTAAATGAGACTTTTTATAATAATGAAATTTCTTATTTAATTTTAAGTAGAAATACATAGGTACAATTTTATAATAATGAAATATTCAATAAATATAATTATCAATGTACAATATTGCTTATCTTCATATTATTATTGTCAAAAATGTCATTGATACGATTGTCGATATTGTGTATTATGTAATATAAAATGTTCGATTATACTTATTTTTAAATTTTTGGAAGAGTGAATACGATTAATCGCAAACATGGATAATCGAGGTTCTACTGTACCTAAAATGTAATTATGTCATTGTTGGTAAAAATAAGTTAAACCTACCAAATTGCTTAAAAAAAAAAATTACTTATAGTATAATAGAAATATGTATAACATTATTAGAAATATTGTATGTCAGTCTTTACTCACCGCTWAAAATTGCCAACCTATGCAATGACTTAAAACAAGCTTATTGCATCCGTTACAGTAAACTAGATACTTAATTACAAAGAGTTTTTTCTACATATCAGAACAACTTCCACAGCTTTTTAAATATTCTAAAATTGAATGATTGTGTTGTGTCATTTGTATTAAATACGTATTTTAAAAAAGTTTTTTGTTTCTCTATTTATTATTTAACTCTATTTTTGTTTAGTATTCAGCATATTTTTTTTTTAAACTTGCTTTATAAATTAAATTTATTACTTACCTATTAGGTATTATATAGATATAATTAGTAAAATTAGTTATTAATTTAATAATATTAGTATTTCAATATTATATTTTATAATAATTATTGAGATGATCATTGAAAAGTTTATTTTCTATGCAAATAATTTGATAATACATTTATTGTTGATTGTCTTGATTTTATTTACATACAAAAATTATTTGTTTTAAAATTGATGGACAAAATTACTCTTTATGTTAAATCTATAATTAATTTAGGATGAGGATGTAATGTATAAGTTAGGAATGAGGGTCCCACAAAACCTTGTGCCAGCACTGAGTACACTCTTTCCTAAAATATAATWATTGTATCACCATTGCATTTCCATCATGCATAAAATGACCATTTGTGCCTCCTCTTCCTAAAAAAAAAATATTACCTTTTTTATATATAAATTTATCACATATACTGCATTTTTTATGATACCCTCAAAATRAACTAAACCTCCAATACATGAATAAACTGTTAATATTATTTTTAAAATACAGCGTCTTTTTTTTTCCTGTTCAAAAACCAGGAA